TTTGGGCTACATAGTGAATTCAAGGCCACCCTGAACTACATAGAGAGACCCTGTCTCAAAAAAAGAAATACTAAAATGCCAGTTTTTTCTCTATATTCTCTTTAGTCTCAAAAAGGTGATGTATTTACATGTCTTTTAAGTTCAGGAGTTTTCTTTGTAGCTTTGAACATCTGATCTAATACAAACTAGAAAAACATACATTGAAAATGTATATTTATGAAATGTATATTTATCTGCTTGACGCCAAGAGTTAGGCAGATTTCGCCCTTTGACTTTCTGACCCTCCATGACAATGGCTGAAGGAGTCTGTTGCCATTTTCCTTGCTTTCGTCATCATTATTCATGATGGAACAATACCTTTGGCCACAGGCATGTACATCTCAAGACCTGTAAACCTCTTTTTTTCCAATTCCATTAAAGTAGAATTGTAATTATAGCTAATGTGAGCATTCACCAGATGCTAGGTACTTTACTATTGGTATTTTGAATCTTCAAATTTGCCCTTAAGGCCTCTAATATTATCTTAGAATAACATCAGGTAATAAGAAACGAGCTAGAGTTCATCTTTGGTACACCAAGGACCCCGGACTCTGGGTGTTCTGATGGCATAGAATTTATGGTGTGTCTTCTAAGAAAATGAAGCCCATAAAAGTATCCACAGGAGAACCAAAGCATCAGCTCACAAACTGCCTTGGCATCTCTCTCCTTTGCTATGTGGCTCTGTAGTCACACAAGCCAACGTGAGGCACAGTTGCCTCTGGGGACCTGCAGGTTCTTTCAAGATGTTTGCTGGGAGACCACTGGACACTAAGCCATGGTGCCAAGCCAGGTCGGAGATTCTCTCAGTTTATATACAGGGACATCTCCCTGTCACGTCCCAGTGCATTTTGCAAATTCTCAAGGAAGCAAATTAAAAATTGTATTTGGCTCAAGACATTTCAACCAATCAGATTGCCACTGTAGGCACTTGAACGTGCCAAAGTGTCCTAAATCTAAAGGAATAAACAGTGCTCGTGTGTGGGGTATGTGTGTGTATTATTGGGTCTTCACACTAAGTTGTTTATGATCTTCCTGCCTCAACCTCCCAGGCTTCTGTGTTGGGCCCACAGGAGTGCATCATTAACCCAGCTCTCAATTATTGCTCTTGTTTAAATAGAAGTAGAGAATAGATGATTAGAAAGTAATAAAGGTATTTCTTAAAAGAAGAGGGTTGGATTTCCTTGTGCTCAACAGGTAATGCCCATTACCTAATATAAACACCTATGTGATGCCAATTATCACCAGTAGGAAAAGAATATATGAGGTATCTAAATTAAATGCATGAATAATACAATAACAACAATAACAGTAACAAATATAATAGAAAATCCCATATGTTAGATGCATCCTGGTGTGCTCAGTACTATACTGATGACCTTACATGTATATTATACACTGAATTCTCATGTTGCTCCTGCCTAGTAAATAATGATTTTCTTATTCTACAGCGAGATAAATTGAAGTGTCCAGAATGTAATTATTTTCCCGGGGTCACCTGGTCATTGATAAAGTAGAGGTTTAAAACCTGGCCTAAGATATGGGACAGCCAGGCCTTTTCTGTCACATTTAGAGCTTGAGAACACTGGAATACAGTTTTCAATACATCTCTTTCCCATGGGCTTCTTGTTTTTCCTTGGTCCTGGATAAAAATCTTGTTAGTCTTATCCCACCTTCTTCATTGATGAGTGCAGGATGTATTCTCACACTGATTATTTCCTTCATACTCTCTCCAGTCTATTTATCTTTGTTTTCTTTTTGCTGTGCTAGGGGTTGACTGGTGGTGTGCTCTACCACTGAGCTATATCCCCAGACCTTTTGTATTTTTAAGATAAGAGTTCCCTAAATTTCTCAGGCTGGCCTCCAACCTATAGTCCTCCTGCCTCAGCCTCTCAAGTTGCTGGGATTACATGCATGAGTCACTACACCCAACTCCATTTTATTTTCTAGTCCTCTTTATTATCAGATTTATTTCTTGGATCCTAAAAGAACAAAATAAAATAGGGTTTCATTCGTGGTAATCTTTGTGCATTAAGAGAGTCTTCAAGTGTTACCCTATCATAACAGGGAGAGGAGTTTAACATCAAGCCAAGGTCGCTTCCAGGATTTCCAGCATCAGCCCGAAGATTATGGTGTGTGTTGGGTTCCAAACCTGAAAGGACAGCATGATGGCTTACGGGACTCCAGGCGAGTTCTAGAAGCAAAGACGGGGGAGATGGGAGAAGGGAAGGCAGGAAGAAGAAAGGAGCATAGGCAGCACACCTTGTTGATAAATGAGGATGAACATAACCAGCCCTTGGTGAAGCTGGCAGGAAAACCACTGAACAGCTGGAAGAATGAGACCAAACCTATGATATCTTTGTGTTTTACCGTTTTAGGCACTAGTTGAAGATACGGGTATGGTCAAAAGATACGGTGTTGGGCCAGGGATTCAGCTCAGTGGTTCTGCTGCCTGCCTTGCAAGTGCAAGGTCCTGAATTCGATCCCCGATCCCCGCCCCCCCAAAGATATGGTGTGTGTTGATTTTTTAAAAATTGACTATAATAAAAGATCTATTGCATCAATCCTCCTCAAAGTACTCCCCTTCACTGCGAACATACTTATTTCATGTTCCTGCCACTTTCTGAAGCAGTTCTGGAAGCCATCTTTCACGAATGACTTTAGTCATATTATCAGGTCTGGCTCAATGTCCTGAATCAATTCAAAACGCTTCCCTTTCGTGCTCATTTTGACTTGGGGAAGAGCCAGATCTTTGACTTGGGTGTCAGATCTACTGAAGAAGGCAGATGAAGACACATCATCGTGTTTTTATGAGCCTGCCTTTCCCTGGAGTGGATTTGGAAGCAGCATGCACCATATTTTTTTTAATCACACTTCAAAAAGACAAAAAAGGGGGCAGCTAGCCTTTTCTACTGTCACAATAGGAGGATGCTGCTGGCTGCTAGTGTGTAGAGGATGATGAACCTCCTGCAGTGCAAAGGTCAGCTCCTACAACAAAGCGTTACCAGCCCAAACTGTCAAGAGTGCTAAGGTTGAGAAGCCCTAGTGTGTGTTGGGGGGGGTATGGGTACAGTAATCTATTGAAACCATGTAACAACTTTTATTACTTAGACCTGGGAATGTTGCAATCGCACAATTGCTTAGGAAGTAAACAGTCTCAGTGTGTTTTGATTGTAGAAAAGAAAGATACTAACAGTTAACCTTGGTAATTCCTGATCACCACCAAGTCAACCCTAGAGAACAGTGACACACAACTGTACTTCCTGCCTGGAGGGCACCCTCCCATGACACATTTCCTTACCAGACAGAAACAGTTTGTTACAACCCACTGCAGTGTTGTCCACCTATTAGTCTTATTTGTTTGGGTTTTTTGGTTTTTTTTTTTTTTGAGACAAGAGCTCGCTGTCTCCAGCTGGTTTTGAACTTACTATGTCAGCCAGGCTGGCCTTGTATTCTTGATCCTCTTGCCTCAGCCTCCCTAGTGCTGGGATTACAGGTGTGTACCATCACACCCAGTTGTCCCTCTGTTTTCTACAGCCTGTTCTACTACTCGTTTAATATCTCACTGATCTAGGGGGTCAAAAGATCAGTTTTCTTTAAATACCAGAGACACAACCCAGGTGTGAGAAGAAAGCTGTCTCACTGTCATAGAATCCCTTCTCAAAAATACCTGAAGTGTGAAACTGTTCCTTCCTTATTCAGTGCCCACTGAGCTGTTAGTAAAACAGTTTCAAAAAGCATCCATCTTGGTTCACTTTTCAATGAAACATCTTAGCCAGTAGTACAAGTGACAGACACAGGTAACCTCAGATAAAGCAAAATGTTGTGCAGCCCTCCTCAGTCCTTGGTAGCTGGGCATGGTGGTACATGCCTGTAATCCTAACACTTGGGAGGCTGAGACAGGAGGATTTCTGGGAGCTCAAGGCCAGCCAGAACTACCTAGTGAGAACTTCTGTCAAAAATTTTTTTTTTTTTTTTTTTGCTGAAATCAGTATAGACTTTGTCTTGTACTTCTTGTTGTGTTTGGTTCAGTTTAGATTACGTCGACATTCTGGGGATTGAACCCAGGGCCTGGTACATGCTCTATCATCAACCCTATCTTGTACTTCTTATTTTTCTTTCTTTCTTTTGGTTATAAAATAGCTTGGTATCTTTGGATTGGTATCTTCTGCTGAAAGCATTTAACAATTAAAATACCAAGGTTTCAAAAGTTCATACTATTCTTCCTAAAGGGAAATTTGCAATTAAAATAGCATTATGTACATATATGTTATTGAGGTGTTGAGTTAACTCACCTAAGTTCTCTGTCTGCGATTCCTTTACCCTGAACTTCCTAAAAACTAACAGATGACTGGCTCAAAATGGTCACAAATTCAACATGTCACTTTAAAAAGCCTGTACATTTTTAACACTATTATTACTATAATGGCAGTGAAGGGAGGAGTATTCTCATCAAAGTCTAACTGCAATAATGCAATCATGTAAGCTTTGTGATCCTTCCTACCTTATCCAATACACAAACCTAGCTCCATTTATATATCACCTACCTTCAATGGCTAATTTTCTTGATTCTAGCTTACCTCAAATACAAGAAAAGCATTAGTGAGCTCAGAATAATTGGTTTTGTTTTTATTTTACAGTGCTGAAAATGGAACCCAGATCTTCAGACATTGCTAAACATGTGCTGTATGACTGAGCTACATCCTCAAGCCAGAATAGTGCTTCTTAACCAGGGATGTATTTAGGGAGTCTTCGAAATCCTAATGTCCTAGTCATATCCCAGGCTAAGAGTTCAAAATTGCTAGGGATGGAACCTCATCCTCAGAAATCTCTGAAACTCCCCCGGTGACTCCAGTGGGCAGCAAAGGTTGAGAACCAGGGGTTTAGAAGAAATCCTAATTGACGAGCAGAAGCAAAACACCCAAGTGAAATTTGTGACCTTACTGTGGCATATCTATTTTCAGGTGTTTCGTCATGGAGACAGAAGTCCCATTGGCACTTTTCCTAATGATCCCATCAGAGAATCTTCATGGCCAGATGGGTTTGGGCAACTCACTCAGGTTGGTTAGGGGATTTTCAGTTAGAGGTTCTTGATGAGTCTTCAGGGAAATACAGACAAAATTGTCTGTTTTGCAAAATTTTAAAAACTTTATTGGCTTGGCTGGGTGTGGTGGCGCACACCTGTAATCCCAGCACTCGGGAGGCTGAGGCAGGATGATTGCTGTAAATTCAAGACCAGCTGGGCTACATAGTGAGTTCCCGGTCAGTCTCAACTACATAGTGAGACCCTGTCTCAAAAAAACAAAAGCAAAAAACAAAAACCTTTATTGGCTTTATTTAAGCATGAGAGATGTACACAAACAATAAAATATATGAGTTTGAATACCTGAAGAGAGCCAAAGAAAGACTTCTAAGACAGCTCTTGAGTTTTTCAGGCTTCACCTGCAAAAAGAGGGGGAAGATGTCTGCTAATCCATAAGCTGAATGAATCCTCAGGCTTGGGAAAACATAACTTTGGGAAGCAATGATATCAGAATTTTATTTATCAACTGGATACACTGGGATTGAACCTTCCTTATAAGCCAGTAGTCCCCAAATTTTGGCACCAGGGACCAGTTTTGTGGAAGACAGTTTTCCACAGATCAGGATAATTCAAGGGCATTACCTTTATTATGACCTTTATTTTCATTATTATTATGTTGTACATTTTATTTCTATTATCATCACATAATGTACTTCATTTCTATTATTTTACATTAGATTCTCATAAGGAGCATAAAACCTAGATCCCTCCCATGTACCATTCATAGTAGGGTTCACTCTCCTGAGAGAACCCTGTGCCTTTGCTGCTCTGGCAGGAGGCAGAGCTCAGGCCATGACGTGAGTGACAGGGACTGGGTGTGAATATAGATGGCACTTCAGTTGCTTGCCCTGCCATGCTCTCTTGCTGTACAGTCCAGTTCTTAACAGGACCTGTACTGGTTGGGGACTCCTATTAGAAGTGGTTTGTTACATACAAGGAGCAGTACTTCTAAGGAAGAAGGAGAAGGTGAACTGGGGAACAAAGACATCTTAGTTGTTCTTCCAGGGTCCTCCCACCTCACTTGAAAGAATGGATAGCTTCACAGATGAACCACTTACTTTAGATCAGGTCAACCCCCAATGATCAACCAAATACTAAGTGCAAGTCTCTACAAGTGCTAACAGATATGAAAGGGTGTGTATCCTTAGGGAGTCAGTCCCGACTCACAATCACAGCTTTCTTTTCCTGTTTTCATTTAAGTGTGTATTTTAAAGTAGGACCATTGAAGCACAACTTGTTCACTTCCACATTTACAAGGAGGAGGGATGAAAATGAATTCCTATGATAACATGATTCATACTTTTCCTAATTTTTACTTTTTTTCTATAGCTTGGAATGAAACAGCATTATGAACTTGGAGAGTATTTAAGGAAAAGATATGGAACATTCTTGAATGAGTCCTACAAACCTGAACAGGCAAGTTGGGGAGCCAAGAAAGGGAAACTTGACTCTTGAAAGAACTAAAATAATTCCACATATGTAAACATGTTTTGCCTATTTTTCAGTTAACCTATCCAGTCAGAGATGTTGTTTATAAATATATCATCATTGTAGGATTTTTTCATAAAAATGTATGGATGCGAGTAAGTTTAAAATTGCATGAACATCTATCTGTGTAAATACTATGACTTGTCGGGTAGCTGCTGCTTGATTGGTATTTTGTCAACTCAACTGTTGGCCTACTAGGTTACTTTGCCCCATGGTATGCTCATAACATCACCTGTCCTATAGCAGATACTGTGCTTATAATGTTCCCACGAAGCCTGCTATTAGTTTAGTGTGGATGTCCTGCTCTTTTTCTGATACCTGTTAGCCCCACAGAAAGAAAATCTCACATTTCCTCTAATCTGGCCTCTGCCTTGCTTTTCCCACTCTAGGTTTATATTCAAAGCACAGATATTGACCGGACTTTGATGAGCGCTCTGGCAAACCTAGCAGCCCTGTTTCCCCCATGGGGCACCAGCATCTGGAATCCCAGCCTGCTCTGGCAGCCCATTCCAGTGCACACAGTTGCTCTGTCTGAAGATCAGGTCAGTACACAGGGAGGTCTGAGAGAGTTCACATGGGCCAGGAATAAGGGAGGCCAGGCTGCTCGGACTTGCTCAGAATCTGGGATTCTGCTCATGCCTTGGGCTGGGAAGTCTTTTTCTTTCTTAAATAAAGGTTCAAGGGACAACATAGAACATGGGAAGCCCTACAAAAGAGACAGTAGGAACTGAATTTTTCTTTGACTGGCTATCATCCCTTTTGTTTTGTCACCATTTCAACTTTTGTCCATTCTCCTCTCTCCCGTCTTTATACACGTACATAAACACACAAATCTCCTGGTGCTCCACCTTCAGTTCCCTGAACTTTGATGCCCAACATAAGTTTCTTCTCTCTCGAGAATCTAAAGATCTCCCTTCCTTTCAAACACTGTTCCTGCCTATGAAAATCTGCATTCCTAGATAGAGGAGAAAAGAAAAATTTGAGTGCATAATTGGTGTGCAACATTTTATATATGTCATCGTTGTGCTTGCTTTTGCACATATACAACATCTGCCATCTTATTAACCTTTTATAACAACCTTGAAGGGCAACAGTATTGTACTCTTGTACAGCAAGGGCAAAACAGTTCTCGGAGAAGTTAAATAACAAACAGAAGTGACCCAAAGTCACATGGCTACCACTTTAGGATCAAAACAAGGCCTTTTGGATCCCTAAGCAATCTTCTTCCCTAAGTGTCATATTAGAATCACCTGGAGAGTTTTCAAAACTGCTGATGCACAGGGCACTGCTCCTAACAAATCAAACTTTCTGCGGGTAGGACCCAGGGATGAGTATTTTAAAAATAATCTCCCGACACAATTCTATGGAGGGCCAAGTTTTAGAGCCAGTATCATAAACCAAGCTGCCTGAATGGGGATTTATTTACATGGGGTAGGATATTGTTATGCCCAAGTTGCAAAGTCTCCAAAGACCACCAACGAGTCAGGTCCGATGCAATTACAAGAGGAGTTTATTGCAAGCTCGAGCCTGGACCCTTGGGTGTCACTGTCACAGCGGCTTCAGACGGAGAGCCCAGATCCATCTTTGAAGCAGGCTTATATAAGGTTAGGGAGACTCTTCCTTTTTATAGGTCCTATTTTTAGCTCTCGCTTACTATTAGATATTCGAAGGGCACTGGGAGGGTACTTACTGGAAAATTACTAATACCTACATTCACAGAATTAATTCCTCTTTTTAAAGAGCATCTGATTAAATAAATTCTATAATTAACAAAGACTACATATGTAAGCAATGATATCAGCAGGTGGCTACCTATGTCAGCTATGACTAATACCTATGTTGGCTAAATCAAATTATCTTAAGCATGGAGAATTCATCTTTGGATCATAAAAAGAGGAACAGAAACAGGGTGGAGATGCAGAGATGCCCTAAGACAGCCTGCCCTAAAAAGAGGAACAGAACACAGGGAGACTGTCATACAGAATGGAATTTCTGCAACTCTGTTCTGGGCAAGGGGCACAGAGGTGGGCAAAGGGCACAGAGGGAGCCCACCTTGACCTGAAAACTTGGTTCTTATAGATATAAGGTTAGGGCTGAGAAGAAATTTAAGCTAGGTCACATAGGTAGGAGCAAAAGATGTCAGTTGATCAAATAGAAGCTCTTATAGAAGTTGAAAAACAGATTATGGTGGCTTAGATTGTGAGGAGACAATGAAAATAACCAAAAAAAAAAAAAGAAAGAAAAGAAAAAAGAAAAGAACCAAAAGGGACTTATTTTAAATACATTCCAAAAGTAGACAAATAAAAGTAGTCTATAAAGCAGCTTTATAAATTTTGCCATTGGTAAAAGAAGAGAATTTGCCAAGGGGATATGATTAAAGATGAAAAAGTTGAGTACAGCTTTGAACACGTTAAAGTTAAGGTCTTCAGTATCCAAACATTCCAACAGTGCTCTCCACCAGGGGCTGGAAATTCAGGACAGATGGAAAGTAAAAGCAACAAAATACATGTGTATGTGTACCTGTTTATGTGTGGTACTTGGGATTGAACACAGGGCCTTCTCACTGAGCTATATCCTCAGCCCTTTTCTTAATTTTTTGAGATAAAGGCTTGCTAACTTGCCCAGGCTGGGTTTAAACTTGTGATCCTCCTGCCTCAGCCTCCCAGAGTGCTAAGATTACAGGCATGCACCACCGTGCCCAGCTAACAAAATATACCAGGGAGTCACCAACCTATAAATTATAGTTAAAACTACAAGAGATTATGGAATTTTAACTTCTTTTAAGATTATCATGTTGTCTTTGTAATAGGTTTTAAATTGCATTTTCCATACATTTAATATACACCTTCATTTTAATAGTCTGAAAATTTACAAGAACTGAAGCCAACTTATGGTTAATTGATGTCTTAAGAGTCTTTCCAGAACCTCTAATATTCTTGTGGGGAAGAAGGGTTTACACAGATGTGCACCAACTGGTAGAAATTAAAGGGCTTGGGGAACAAGCAAGATAATAGTTTTTCATACAGAAACCCACCAGTTGTGAATATTTACTAACAGCACATTCCTAGTTAGGCCAGTTCATGAAAGAAAAAAAAATAAGATGTTTCAGATCTGGGTATATATTCTACTTATTTTGAGATATGCTGACCATTTGTCTTGTTCCTTCCAGTTTTAGAATTTCACCTTAGCTCAAAGCACATTTGAATCTTTTATTAAGGTTGCTTTAGTCCTAATGAGGCTGGTGCAGCTAATTTTTCTCAGATCCTTTTCTTTGTTAGTACCCGTGTGTCGTACATAATGTTTATGCTCCGTGTGTAGAGTTTGAGCATGCACATAACACATCATCATCATTCTTTTTTCATCCCCTCCCCTTCCCAACCTCCCCCCTCCATCCATCTCTTGTGCAGCTTCCTTGTCAAGGTTCTGCCAACTAACTAAGGTCTAATGATTTTTCTTTTGTCCCCAGTTGCTCTACCTGCCTTTCAAGAACTGTCCTCGTTATCAAGAACTCAAGAGTGAGACTTTGAAATCGGAGGAATTCCAGAAAAGGATTCAACCTTATAAGGTTAAAAGTAGTATTGCTTAGTGGTATAATTGAGTGTGAAAGGCAAGACAAAGGGTGATGCTTTAACAGCTTCTCCTTCTATTGTTTTTTGAGACAGTGTCACTACGTACTGCACTCCACGCTGGCTTTACTATGTATCCCAAGTTGGCCTCAAACTCAGGATCCTCATACCTCAGTCTCCCAAGTACTGAGATTACAAGCATGCACCTTCATGCCTGGCTAAGCTTCAGCTTCTTAAAACCATGGGGTGAACATATCTTCAACGGCTGATTACAGCAATGGCTTAGAAGAATGATGGAGAACCTTCTAGAGATTTCAGTGATACCAACAGCCCACTGCAGTGCGCGTGCCTTAGGTTTCCCACCACTGACTTAGAATATTGGGTGTGGGAAATCATTGTTACCTGATCTGCTTCCCTGTACAAAAGGCCAAAAACCAGTAGAGAAGCCAGTCTTCTTCAAATTTGTTCCTATGCCCCTATCAAGAACCAGGTGCAAGTGATCCTAACATCACCTGCTTTATCAAGGCTGAAGCACTGGGGGTTTTTCTATACACAGAATAGATTTTCTTGAAGCCAGGTGTGGTGGCACACATCTATAATCCCAGCATTTGGGAGGCTGAGGCAGTAGGACTTCAGAAAGTTCAAAGCCAGCCTGGGTGACGTAGTGAGTTCATGACTAGCCTGAACTGCAAAGCAAGACCCTGTCTCAAAAAAACACAAGCATATCAAAAAAGAATAACTTTTTGTTTTTGTTTTAAGAACTATCCTCTTCCCAAAAGGTAGATGCAAAGCTTTATATTTAAAAAAAAACACTAATCTTTGAGTCAGTTATACATTGGGTACAAAAATCAGAAAGAATAAAAAGAAATACAGTGGGAAGTCTCTCAAGGACACCATGAGTAAACACTGGCATTGTTTTCCCAATCATTTCCAGTTTCTTTATGCATACACAAGATAACACAAGGGTTTTCTGATAGTTTCCCAATTTGTTACACAATTTGTTACACAAGAGTGATATACTGTTTATAACCCGGGGCACTTGGATTTTTTTCTTATTGTTGATTTTGTTTTTTGTTTAATAAATGTTTTTGAAATATTTTTCTGTATACAAAGAATTCCCCCAACTTTTCTTCCTTTTTTGTAAATGTGCTGTACTCAAATTGGTGGATTCACCATAATTTACTTAACCAGCCCCTATTGATGAAAATATGGGTTATTTACAATATTTCATTTTTACAGTCTAAGTGAATGCATTGTGAATCTGAATAATTTCACAAGAATATCTATGCAATATTATATCAGAAATTCTGGGTCTCTTTGAAATACTATCAGATTTCCCTCTAGAGAGGTTAGATCAATTTCTATCCTTATCAGGCCTGCAAGAGGTTACTATTTCTCCCCAATCTTGCCAATAATATGTAGAAAATGTTGGAAGAATTTGCAAACCTGATAAATGAGAAAGGTATCACTGGACTTATCCTTCCTAAATTAGGAATAAGATAAGAAAGACCACTGTTACCACTCTTATACCACATTGTGTCTACTGCTTTTCTCTTACAAAAACTTGGGTTTCTTCATCTACTTAAATATTATTTGTATTTTTTGTCTATTCCTGTACCTTTATTATTTTTCTTTTGTTACTGGTTTTTGTTTTTCCTATATATTTTAGATACTTTCATTGTATATTTTAATAGTCCTGCCTGTGATATGAATGGCAATTTTTATATAGTACATGCATTGTTTTCATACTTTTTTTTTTTTTTTTGAGACAGGGTCTCACTGTATAGTCAAGACTGACCTGGAACTCACTATGTAGCCCAGGCTGGTCTTGAACTCACAGCGATCCTCCTGCCTCAGCCTCCCGAGTGCTGGAATTACAGGCGTGCGCCACCATGCCCGGTTTATAGTACATGTATTGCTGTTACATGTATTTGCCTGTTGACTTTATTTATGATGTTTTGGCCATGTAGGCTGTAAGTATTTCCATATATTCTTAGATGGCTTCTATATTTTGAGTTTCTTATTTACTACGTTATGAGGGAAGTATCCAAGCCTTTCTTTTAATTCTTTGACAGCTTCATTTATATGTTGCATCCATTCTCAGTTTGTACTAGTGTTAGTTTTGACACTCATATCCTGCTGACGGTTTCTTCCCAGATTATTTAAATGTCCCATCACTATTTATTGAAAAGTTCATCTATTTTCATTTAGTTAAGCTATTACTTAAATTCCCTCATATATAGAATCTTTCTGGAATTTCTATTCAGTTCACTCAGCAAAAACTATGGTTTTAATTTCTAAGACTCTGTATTATGCTTTAATATCTAAAGTGTTGGCCATCTTTCATTGCTCTACATTTTCTGAGTTTTCATGGCTATATTTGTTAATGTTTTTGCAAACTTTTGAGTCAGCTACTATAGTACCAAAATATTTACTTTTTTAGTGTTTTTCTTGGGATCATATTAAATTTATAAGTTAACTTAGGTAGAATTTGCACTTTTTAAATATTAAGTCTTCTTTTTCAAGAATACAGTATGTTTTTCCTTTTATTATTTTAAAGATTTTAGGATTTTCTTCTTAGTCATTACACTTTTTGATGTTTGTTCCAAGTTTTTAATATCTGCAACTAATAACAGTTTCCCTCTAATTTTCTGGTATTTATACCTCTGATTTCTGTCATTTGTTTATTTTTATTTGTCAGTAATTACAGTATAAAATTATGTGGTAGTGTTGGTAGCAGGTGTCCTTATCTTATTCTTGATTATAGAGTTTTTTCTCCTTTTTTCCATAATAAAAATATTTAATATTTTGCTTTTAATTTTTTTCATTGAGTTTATTGGTGCTTTTTAGGTATACAGTACAATTACATTCATCATTGGGATCTTGTACCTTTACATGACAGGTCTTGGTTCTCATTTTTTCCCATACCCCTGCCTTCCCTTCACCCCCTCCACCCTTCCCTATTTACAAAAACTTTGTTTTCATTATTTTGTTTTCTCATATTTTTTCTTTTCCCTTCTTTCCTTTCCCCTATCCTTCCCCCTTCCCTTACTCCTTAAGCCATTTTTTTTCCTATTTCACATTATCAGTTATACAATTTAACCTTATTTAACTTTTAGTTTCTCACACCAGAGAAACTACTTGGTGTTTACTTAAGTGTGTTCTAGTTATTTCACTTAGGAGTATGGCCGCTGAGCCGGGTATTTAGTTCTGCTGCCTGCCTGGAAAGCATAATGACCTGAGATCGATCCCCGGTACAAAAAAAAAAAAAAGAGTATGACCTCAACGTGCATCTATTTAGCTATAAATGTCTCTAGTTTTTCATTCTTTATGGCTGTGTAGTACTTCATTTTATAGACAAAACACATCTTCTTTAGTCTCCAACTGATGGGCAATTGGGCTATTTCCAAGTTTTAGCTATTACAAACTGTGCCGCTATAAATATGGGTGTGCATATATCTCTGTGGTATGAGTCTTTTAATTCTTTTGGAAAAATACCCAGCTGGGGAATAGGTGGGTTTCTCCTTTTTTATTGTTGTTTGGTTTTGGTTTTGGTTTTATTTTGGTACTGGGGAGGTTTCTCCTTTTAATCATGCTGGCTTTTAAGCCAAAATGCAATACATATATTTTTATCAAATTAAGGAAGTATCCATCTTCCCTGTTTTCAAGTGTTTGTTTTTTTAAATGAAGATTTTTCAACTATTCTCAAATCAAAGCCTTTTCTTCAAATGTGACATTGAATTACTAATTTTTGTTTAGCTCTTTTGCACTGATGTTTACAAGTGACATTGAACTATAGTTTTAGTTTTGGGGTAGTTTTTGTCAATAGTGAGGATACATCTGACTCAAAAATTTTTGAGTTTTCTTTCTATGCCCCCAAACAGTTCACATAGCATTAAAACATTTTACTTTTGAAAATTTTGGGAGAATTTCCTCCTCCATAACATCATCTGGCCTTGGAACTTTTATGTGTGGGGTTGAGGAGGTGGGGAGCTCTTTAACAATGATTTCAATTTATTTTATGGATGTCTGTTGGGGTTAATATTGGCAAAATATAGTTTCCTACAAAATGTATTCATGAGACAAACAACATCTTCCAAAAGTGTTCCCAGAAATTGCTGCCAATTTCAACAGATAGCTGCATGAGTCTCATTATGACAATCTAAGAACATAGAAACTAGTGAAACATTTGCATTTCACTCAGATTTCTCAGTCATGGTCAGAGACCAGTTCTAGATCCTGTTGTTTTTTCCCGGGAAGCTTTGGCCAGGCCTCTGCTTTCTCCTTTCACCCAATGCATTCATTTATATATTAATTACTCTTCACTTACTTCTAAAAAGAATCTTAGGCAGAGCACTTCAGTCAGATCCCAAGAGAAATGAAGCAGTAAGCCTGCATTTACATGCGCTTTTCATGTACTAATGAGAAACAGTGAATTAGTGTGTGTGCATGAAGTTCTTTGCCTGTTGTTAACACACCCAAAGTTACTGGTAGGCATTTCTGTGAAGAACAGCGATTCTCACTGGGCACAAATTCGCAATGCAGGAACCATTTGGCAATGTCTGGAGACAATTCGGGCAGTCGTGACTCGAAGACTAGGAGGCTACTAACGTGAATGGGGCAGAGGCCAGGATACTACTAACCATCTCATAATGGTGGGCCAGCTCCTCACAGCAAAGCGATCCATCCTAAAATATCAAAATACTGTGTGCTACAGATGACAAATATATAAATATTTATATCGAAATATTTTTTCTCTGTGTTTGTTCCAGGATTTTATAGAAACCTTGCCAACACTTTCAGGATTCCAAAGCCAGGACCTTTTTGGAATTTGGAGTAGAGTCTACGATCCTTTACATTGTGAGGTAAAAGAGAAAATATTAAAGATTAATTTTCAATCTAATTTTATGATTTATTCCTATTTTGAAACAGGTGGATATATCTTTCTTCTCTTTTTTATCTACCTGTCTATTTCTGATACACCCTTTGATATTGACACATAATTCAAACTTTTCTTTTACAGTCCTAAAAATCTTGACTTCTCTTTTATTTCCCATTATTTATGATTCCACCCTTTAGAAAATTGCAAACAAAATTGCTTTTCTTCTCTACATTGTCACTTACTTATTTTGCAGTCATTCAGGAATGCTGGGTTTCTGTCACAGGTTTTAATGAAAAACAAAATGTTACACAAAAGAGGAGAGAAAAATTGTCCAATTTCTGGTTGCAGAAAGAAACAAGACAGCTATAAGCCCGGCCATTAAAACTGGTGTATTGGGTCAGAACAGTTTTGCTGTGTGGTGCATTTGGAATAATCTTTGTAACTAAATTAGTATTGTTTTTTCAAAGATATATGATGTTTTTTGCTCACCGGGCTCCATTTCTGGCAGGAGAAAAAAGTACTTTCTATCCTTGTTTTGAGTGCACAGAGGGAAGAAGTTGCTTTCCTAGCTCTGAGATGAGTTTCCCCCACCCATAGCAGCTTACTGACCCCGCCACATGCTGCTTTCTTAATACCTTCACCTTTTTTATCAGTATCTGTCTCAATGAAGATTTGTTACCTTTATAAAAGATCTTCAATGAAGACAAGAACATACTTCTTAGTTACATTCTATGTTTTTCTTCCTTTTCATTGTGCTTGTTTTGTTTATTCTGGGTATTAACGTAGGGCCTCAGGCAGGCTGAGTACATGCTCCACCACTGAGCTACACATCCAGCTTCTTGCTCTGGCTTAATCTGAGCTGTTCCACAATGAGGCCATGTAATGTGGTATGTTTCTCACATCCCTCTTGTCTATTTGTCCTGTTTCACTTCCCTTTGCTCTCTTCTTTTATGATCTCTCTCTCTCTCCCTCCCCCAAAGGCTTTAAAACTAGGAGAATCCTCAACTCTTCCTAATGGGTAAAGAATACTGGTGCAAGGTCTCTACCTGCCCTACTATTTACCATGTCCCAGAATCAGGAAGCTAGAAGTTCACAGGGACAGGCATATGTTATCAAAGGCTCCAGAAATACATTCCCTTCCTAACTGGCCTCATCTGGCTTTTAAGGAAATGTCATCTAATTCTGTTGGACTTTGCCTTTCCCACAGGCTTATAGAAAGGTTTAGAACCTTTCATAAAAGAACATGGTACATCCTTGTCCTACTCTACACTTAATCCGCAAAATATAAATCACACACTGACTCAGAGTCAAGCCAGAGGTTGTGATAGAAAAGAGAAAGTTAGTTTCTGTAATTCTTTTTCTTTTGAAAAATCATATGTATCATAATGTAAATTCTAGAAATCATTATTCTTGAAAAATCATAATGTAAATTCTTCAAAAGAAATGACAAGATAAGAAAGACTGGCCCCAGTAGCTCTTAGAGATGAAAGAGCATCTTTTTTCAGGGTGGGGTGGGGGTTGTTTTGTTTTTTGAGACAAGGTCTTGCTATGTAGTTCATACTGGCCTCAAACTCACCAAGCAGGCCAGGGTGGCCTCAAACTTGGGGTGATCTTCCTGCCTCAGCTCCCTGAGTGCTGGGACTACAAGCGTATGTCACCACACCCAGATGGAGAATCTTTTTACAGTCAACGAAAAAGTTATTCGTAAATAAAAATGTACACATATTCTCTTCCTTTTTATTTGCTGCAGGGTGTTCACAACTTCACTCTACCCTCCTGGGCCACAAAGGACACCATGACTAAGTTGAGAGAATTATCAGAATTATCCCTCCTGTCACTCTATGGAATACATAAGCAGAAAGAGAAATCTAGACTCCAAGGGGGTAAGTATTTCAAAAATGAGAGGTGTATAAGATTGGATGCTCTGGATCTGTGTTCCAGTCCTACCACAGATCCATGGACTGACCTCAAATAGGCCAATAACTTTTGCACCATTTTCCATTCTGCAAAAGGGAGACAATAGTAATACCCACTTCATAGGTAGTAAGGACTAAAATGAATATATGTACCCAAAAAGCTTAGAACAGACAGCATCTGGAACCTAATATACTATTAGTAAACATTGTATTTCTGTAATCGTATATTACTTATTCTGGGCCTTAATTTTTCCCATCTGGAAAATTAAAGCTTTGGGCTAAAGCTAAATGGTTCTTTCCATGTCTTCCAGATGAAATAATCAATGATTTGTGTCTAAGTCCCAGGAAAATCAATTGGTGGTCTATAGGATGAATTTTTCAAGTGGGAGGTTTGGCAAAAGTGTCTTGTTTGCCTGAAGCCCTGGGTGGTGAGCATTGTTTAAAGTAATAGAACATATTTTTCAGGCTAAGTATGCATTATAAATTAATGCCTGTTACAATCAACAAGTTATGACAAGGTTATTGGTCATGAAATGTGTTGATATTTATTTACCAGCGATGCCCCCCTCTCAGAGTTGGCCCTTGACAGCATAAAACACCCTGCCATCATGAAGGCGGACACAAGCAGGAGGATGTGGGGTCTTTGTATCAAGCTAGGTGAGTTTTAAGAAAGAAGCCAGGACCAGAGGACAGGGGCAAATATCAGGGCTGCTGACTGAGCAGCCTAAGACACTAGCGAGTGAGGCTCAGGTGTGATTAATGTAGGCATTACTACTAATTAAGGATAAAAAGCAAGAGAAGGTCTAGTATGTGAAAGATTCACTTAATTGTGAAATCTCAAGCCTTAGGGAGACGTTCGAAGTGAGGCTGACAGTGAATTCCAGACATTTTGAGGAAACCAGGTGTTGCTCCCCACCTGTCAGGACAGGTTCATCAGAACCCTAAGAGAATGCATAAGAGCATTGTGGGGGCTTGGCAAGTGGGGGAGAGGCTCTCTTGGGGCTGTGTAATTAGAGAAAGAATTCAAATCACCAAGCAGAGGAGGAGTCCGGTACAGCCAGGACAGCAGGGCTGCACATAACCAGGAGAACAGCTAATGAGGTATGAAACCAAGCAAGTTTGGAGAAAATTATGTGAGCTAAACAAAGCAGGTTGGAGCTAATCTTTCAGGACAGCAGTAATTAATGACATGAAGATGTTGCAGACCTGCTGTCACAGAAGCCCTGCTTGTGCAGCACAGAGGCAGACTTGAATTTTCAAGTCCTCTCTCCCCACTGAGGGCAGGAAGAGCAAGCCTCAGCCCTGAAGGAGGGGAGCGTATCCAAAGAAGAGGCTTAGATGAAGCGTGGGAGGTTGGCCTAATTACCAGGTGGTATACCGACTCTATGTAGAAGACAGGCCCAGGAAGAAGCTCAACCTTATATGTCACCACTGAACCACCAGGCTTCATCTCTGGCTCCCCAGGTACTAGCCTAAGGCTCAGTCTTACCCAATAAGACAGCAAAGGTTGAGCTCTTGATTTGTTTCCTCCAAGCTCAACACGGAGGACTCAGGAATCCAGCCCCTCAAATTATAGTCCCATTGTCCTGTGGCACTCCCATCACCTAGCAACAGACTTGAAATGCAAAGCTCAGACCCCAGTTGAACTAAAATCTGCATTTTAATAAATCCTAATATGCCTTACACAAAACAGGAGTTGACAGTAATCTAATATTAGACGTCAAGGTGAACATGTATAAATAAGGAAGGGGTTTGTCCTAACAGCTTGTTCCTGTTTCCACCCTTTTTTTCCCTTTAGCTACTAGAGGATAATTTGAGGATAAACCATTTCCCCTCTCTGGGCCTCAATTTCCCCATCTAAGAAAGAGATTAAACTAGATTCTGTGTATAAGAGTTCTTCTCTGAGATGGTCTCTGGTCTTGGATCCTAAAATCGGGCATTTATGGGGACCCACTTGCCCTTCTCTCCAGAGGAGTTCCAGTGGCATTGTTAAGTCAGAAAACTAATTCCTACATGAGTCTGCCAGACCTCAAGCTCAGCCTATTGTTCAGATCTGACTAGACAAGAAGGATTTGCCAACTACATGCTTGTTGAATGATGAAGCAACTGAAAACAGAACTGCACGGAAGACATCCATTGTCTGAGGGACACAGAGTCCAAGAACATCAGGATTGTGACTGGCTTCCTGTGACCTTTGCCAGAACTTGTGTTCCGTCACTTGGTTTCAAGGGTGATGCTGTTCAGTAAAGTATACACAAACACACCTAAAAAATCCCCAATAGTTGTTTAGGAACATGTATCTATCTACTCTTGATGTAGACCACGGGTTGGCATACTACTGCCCACAGGCCAAACAGCCCACTCCTATTTTTGTAAGCAAAGTTGCTGACACAGGCACACTCATTCATTTAATGCCTTGTTGATGACAGCTTTCAAACTACCACTGAAGAATTGAAAAGTTGCAACAGGTCTTATGCCCACCAAGCCCAAGATATTTGCCATCTGGCCTTTGTCTGGCAAATAGAAAGGTTAGCCAACTTTACTGTAGCTCAGGAATGAAGGATGGGAACATTATGAATTCTGATAATGGAGTTTTGTCTAGTTTATACCAATTTAGTAAAGGATGCCACAGGGAACTTAGAAGTTATTTTATGCTCCAGTGTGGTCTAAAGATCATGTGAAGGGATTTCCAACGTATTTGGTTCAAAGCCAAGCCTTCCTGCTTACAAATTGTACCATCTTGGGTAAGTTGCTGAGCCTGAGTCTTAGTTTCCAGACCTATAAGATAGAATATTGACATGCTAGAGCCTGGGGATAGCCCATTTCTAAGAATCGATACCATAATCATTGCCAAGGCTGCATCTGCCCAAAGGGGCCTGTTGATAAAAGGCAGGTTGCTAACTACACATGGCTCTCATGACTCTAGACCCTTGGCAACAGAATTTGGTATGAGATGGCGTGAAGATCAAGCTAATGTTGCTAAGTATTCTTGAGGGCAACTTTCTCTATGGCAAGGTGATTTAGACCCATTAGAGATGTAACGTATAGTTTCTTATATTCCCAATCCAGGAAAATCCAGCCACTGCAGATATATTGTGCATATTGACGTGCATCCCCTCTTCTTATAATTTAATGAGCTTTTGGGAGGGCAGGTATCATGTCTGGTCCACCTAGAACAGTGCCTGGCCCATCATAGCCATTCATACTGAATTTGCTGAGTGGGCCAGACTCTGGGACTACTGACAGTTAGCACCAATGCCTGCTTATTTCCAAAAGCTAATAAACATTACTGGTCATTTTCAGGCCAGGGGAACCCATGTACAGTAGAGAGACCACCAGAGACACAAGGAATCTCTTTTGAAATTCCTAAACTGAAATAGTTGTTGAGTCTCTAAGGCAACATGGTCTCAAAATAGATTTTGGCAGCCAGGTATGGTCACACACACACACACACACACACACACACACACACACACATGCACACGATCCCAGTACTCTGGGAGACTGAGGCAGAAGGAACTCAAGTTCAAGCCTATCCTGGGTAACTTAGGAATTTAGTGAGACTCTGTCTCAAAATTAAAAATTTTAAAAAGGGGCTGAGGTGGTAGTTTAGTGTGAATCCCCAGCACTGTTTAAAAAAACACATGATGACCCTAAGACATGCATTTTTCAGTGTCTGCAAATAGGATGGAGAGTGTCTGCCTTATGTGGCCTCTGGAGCAACAAGAGTTAGGTCTTTAGATTTGAAGGCAAAAAACAAAACAAAACAAACAAAAAAACCCTCTACTAATGACAGAGATGGTATATGAAAGCAAAAACACTTGCTGCTGCCCAGTTGTGACCCCAGGGTAACCTGAGGAAATGGCCCACAGAAAACAGCTCATAATCTGTGCACACATTGGGAGAGTTGCTTTCTCCCCTGGCCTCCCACAGGTCTGACTGCAGGAGGGTGGGAGCAGATGCAGATGTGCATGCCTTGCCATTGTTCCAGTTCTGCTTAGGAGAAGATCCCTACTAAACACTGTCTTTGTGATCTGAAAAGGCCATCCGGAGTTCCTTCTAAGTTTATCAGCCTCCTTCCTAACTTGAGCTTTAACAAAACCTGGTAGAGCATCCAGCTATCCAGCTCTCATTTCCCAGAGATCTGAGGCACTTAATATCTATCCAGGCTTCAGTTTCCCTAGCTAAAAATGAGGGACAAGCTGAGGATTCAGTAAAATCGTTGGTGTATGTCATGTTACCTACATACTGCAGATGCTCAAAGAAAATTAGGTCTTTGCTTCTCTCATGGAATCACTGCAAGGAAAATCTAAATTATGAGCAGACAAAAAGCTCGTAAATCAAAATATAAGCCTGTGTTCCAATAATCTGCAATGTTACTCTATCTTCTTTAAGGTGTCCTGATTAATGAAATCCTGAATCACATGAAGAATGCAACTCAGCCGCAAAAGTACAAAAAATTTGTCATGTACTCCGCAGTAAGTAGTCTTATCTTCGTGGAACATCCATTTTTTCAAGTGTCTAATGTCTTGGAATGTGGGGCCTTGTCTTCTTCATCTCTGTGTCTTCAGCTCTCAGAGTCCATTAGGCATCTGCACAAAGCTTTCAGAATTACGTGTGCCATTCTGGCCCTTGAGGAATTTACAGTCTAACACTGATACTGATGAGACAAATAGGGATGGGGATGTAGCTCAGTTACCAGACTGCTCGCCTAGCGTGAGCAAAGCCCTAAGTTTGACCCCCAGCACTGCCCAAAATAGAAAGACAAACAGATAAACACCATACAGCACAGAATAGAAATGTCATACAAGCAAACGCTTTGGTGCCTCAGAAAAGTAGCCATTCCATTTGATGCAGGAGAATGGGGAAGAGGAGCACAGAGGCATCCTGGACTAGACAGACCATCGACACATCAAGATGGAAGGTATTAGTAAGAGTTTCCTCACATGAAGGGAATTCTTAGGGCACAAGTGGAAGGCCAGGAACATTATATGGAGAATCTATATTAAACGTTAACTGTGCTGCCCAATATGGAACCTCATAATCACAGGTAGCTATTTCAACTTAAAGTGATTATAATTACATAGATAAAAACAAAGTGCCTCAGTTGCACTAGCCACATTTCAAGTGTGCAATAGCCACATAACAGCCAGTGGCTACTGAGTTGGACAGCACAGTCATAGAACATTTCTATCATCATTGAATGTTTTATTGAAAGCCCTGATTCAGAGTGTTAGAATATCTGACCTGGAAAGTAGCTTGGGGGCTATCTTGCCCTGCATATTTGTTGGAGGCAATGTAGAAGAACAATGAAACCAGGGAGAAGTCCTTAGGTGTTTGCTCAGGGGAGGTAGGCAGGATCACAGGATAGGAGGCATGTTTCAGAAATTATTCCTCCCAGCCAGGCATGGTGTCACACTCCTGTAAATTAAAGCCAGCCTGGACTACATTGTGAGACCCTGTCTTAAAAAAGCAAACAAATGAATTACTTCTCCTATAGCATGACTGAAAGTCAGAAACAGGATGTTGTATAGCAAGCTGATTTCTAGAAAAATGGGCACCCTAAAACTAGGGTGACAATAGGAAAGAAAGAAGGATTAGCCAGGTTACAAGGAAAGCTGTGCTTTGGCTAGAGAAAGCCATGTTTTCATTTATGCAAGAAAGTAAACAGAGTAATTGAAGATATAAGAAGTTTGCTTATTGTCAATGGCTCTAAACAGAAGGGAGTGAAGAATAACCCACTGAGGGAGCGGGGGGCAATACTTCTTAGAGGTGGGCCTGAATTTAGCTGATTCTGCCAACTTTTAAAATTTCTATTCTGTTTTAAAGTTCTAACTTGTTGAGTGACTTCTAGCAAGTCATATCTGTAACTCTTTGTCTTTCTCTATTAAATTGGTTCTAAACCCTTTTGAATATATGTATGTTGACATATAGTCTAGGCAGTCAGATATTATCCCCATTTTACAGATGTGGAAGTTGGAAACCTCCAGTCACTCTGAGGCAAATATTTAACTTAACAACTACTGTTAAGATATATGCTTTAGGCCAGGCATGGTAGCACATGCCTGTAATCCCAGCACTCGGGAGGCTGAGGCAGGAGGATTACTATGAGTTCGAGACCAGCCTGGGCTACATAGTGAGTTCCAGATCAGTCTCAACTTCATAGTGAGACCCTGTCTCAAAAAAACAAAAAAAAAGGATATCCTCTTTAGTTCCTTGTATTTCTGCCCCTCTACACATTTATGACCCCAAATACTATTCCACAACTTCAAAATCAAATATTATGCTAAAAGTACAGTTTAATATACAGTGTTCCAAAATATTTGAAATTTAATGAAAATCAATAAAACAAGCAAAAGCAGAGATATACTCTTCCTGGAGAAGGTACAGGATTTAAAACCAAAAGACTTGATTCAAGTTTGCTTCAAATTGTATGACAATAAGCAAGTTGCTTAATTTCTCTAAGTCTTACTTTCTTCATGTTTTAAATGAGGCTGAACCACTGAGCCAAATCCCCAGCCCTTTGTTTTAAATGAAGTAATAAGTAGGACACAAAAGATGCTTATCCAAAATTAGTTCTTACCCTCTCTTACTTATCAAGTGATTGGGAGGATTGGAAATTTAATTGACTCAGAAACCATCATGGTGTTCTTCATGGGCTGATGCCTAATGAATGTAAGTCTGAGCCAGGGGTAAAGATCAAAAATTATTTGTTTCTTTTCTTTACAGCATGACACTACTGTGAGTGGCCTACAAATGGCGTTGGATGTTTTCAACGGAAAATTGCCTCCTTATGCTTCCTGTCACTTGATGGAATTGTACCTTGAGGAGGGGTAAGTGCCTGAAGAGTGTTTTTGAAAGTCAGTATCATTGTCCCCCCAGGCTTTGTTATTATTATTGTTGTTGTTGCTGTTGTTGTAGCTTTAAGGGTTGGGTCTTGTCTTTAGGTTTGGTTTTATATTCAGAGGGGAGAATGGTGGTAGCAATATCTTTGCTAGTCATGCCTCTTTTTTGTTTTCATGAAGTCTTTTATTGGGAAGTAACGTACATGCATAGCAAGTAAAAAATATGAGAGAAGCATCCTAAGTGACAAAAATTAAAGATTTTTAAAAATTGAGGTATTCTAAGAACAATGCAGACATACATTATTCTCTTGCATGAGAAAAAAATAGCTTAAAAGATGCCAAGAGAAAAATGAAGTTGCTTAGTGCTCATGTAATAGTCTTTCAATTAAAGACTTCTAAAATGGCCATGCTTCTTTTGGTGACTCATATCTACTGGTCAAGGTCTTAAAGCATAACTTCTGAGTAAAGTTTACGTCCTTGTGGCCTGGTCGCCTCCCCTGATGATGAGCTTGACCTCATTAGATCAAAGTCAGAGAGGACACATGTTCCAGTTTACCCAGAACTGAGAGACACCTGAAACGTGTTTCATTGTTGAATTGGAAATAGACTGGGGCAAACCAGAAGAACTGGTTACCATCAACAATGTCACACTAAGTATTTGCATCTGCTGTGACAATGGCATTTTCTTTGGAAAGAGAAATGTCATGGGTTGGTGGATAAGTCAAAGAAAGGGCCAGGTTAAGGTAGTGACCCCAAAGTTTTGCTTCTGAGTGGGTTAGGGAGATATTTTTTCCCTCCCCTCAAGGCACTCACAACAGTTGTAGGCAGGGCCAACCTGAGTGTGCAGTCACACAAGTCCCATGTTTAGGAGACCTTGTGCTTGTTTTAGTTCTCTACTCTCACCATCTTTTAATTGTTGTTTTGTTTTTTAACCAGAGGATACTGCAATCATCTTGCAATTGTGGATGTAAATTTTCGGGTCCCCGAATGTGTAGAATAGGAGAGTAACAACACAGAGACTTTATTTTCAATCAGTACTTACAAAGGAAGTGAGTTCTACAAAGTTAAGACAGTTAATTACTTTATTGAACATTTAAGTGGATGACAGGCACAATAAGATAGAACTAAAATGTAGTCTTAGTTAATCTTGCTCTTAAATACTTGGAGTTAGAGAAGAGAGAAGACCCTCACAATAAAGACTAGCAAAAGAGCAAAGAGGATCCAAGTTAAATTGTTTATTAGATGATCCTGAGTATAAGGTGATCCCACTTTTTCATTTGTTTGAGGCAGTCTCTCTACGTAATTCAGGCTAGCTTTGAACTCACTATGTAGCCCAGGCTGGCCTCGAACTCATGGCAATCCTCATGCCTCATTCTCCACATTTTCTCTATGAAAAGAAAAGGAGCAAGACAGAAGGGAAAATGTTTTAGATTTCCAACTATCTTAAATATATAAACTGTTAAGGTTGTAGATAAGGTAAATATAAGCCTATTTAATTTTTACTACATAAATTTAAAACCACAGGGTATATAAAGTAACTTGTTAAGCTAAAAATACTGCTTTTTTTCATTTTTACATTTTATGAAATTTTATCCAAGTTCCTCATGTGCATCTTATCTTGTGTCTTCCCCACTAGAGGCAATTTTGAGCCCCCTAAAACTGCTTTCTAGATATAGGGATAATTTTAGTTTCTATATAAGTGAACCTCACATTCTCAGAGAAAGTTAATCTCGCACTTATCTCACAGTCTAGTGCAGGTATTGCTAGTCACTAGGTCCATGCTGAGTTCCATGGTGTGGTTCTCATGTGGTTCCCCTCCCTGGGACCCCAATCATGCTGAGCTCACTAACAGACTGTAGCAAGGAAGGAGAGGGTAGAGAAGGCCACCAGTTTACCAGCCACTTCAGCTCAGTAGGAGAACATCTCCTTTCTGGTTGCTTTCTACTGGCTGAAATGAGACACTTGGTCCCACCAAGGTACCAAGAAGTCTGAGAAAGGGAATTACTTCTGGGGCATCACTCTTCTATAGAAAGAACCATGATACTAATGGACTATTTAATGGGGCCTCACCCACATTATCTTGAAATAAAAGATGTTGCACTGGAAAAATCATCTCAAGATATAAATACATACTCATTGATATATTAGGAAAGTTAAACACATTTAGTAAATATTTGCAGTTGTTATGCTTATATAGTTTAGGGAATTTTCTATTGTTTTTTTGTTTTCCATGCTGGGATTTGAACTTAGAGCCTCATACTTGTTAGGCAACCACTTTACAACTGAGCTACATCTTCATTCCTCTTTTATTTTTAATTTTGAGATAATGTCTTGCTAAATGACCCAGGCTGGCCTCCTACCTCAACCTACAGAATAGCTGAGATGGTAGACATGCACCACCACACTCTTTGTAACAACTGACTGCTTGTAACATTGAAGAGTTGAAATTGTGAGGTTACTACACCAAGAAAGATCATTATCCCCACTTGAATTTCTCTCCTACTTCTTTGGTCAATGACTTCCATAAGCAACTCATGCTGGATTTACGGAAGCTGATTTAGGCCGTTAAGCCTTCCCCAAATAGCATTTTGTTTTTTTAAATAAACGTCACAGAAGCTCTCCTTAATGTGACACCAGAGTTGAATATATAGCCACTTCTTCCAGAGGGATAATAATTTGATAAAGTCTTGCCATATACTCTATAGCATATCTTACTCAGCTTAGTGTTTATGGCCTAGTTAAGGAAAAGGGATATAGAGTCAGGGAAAGACAATAGAAATATTGAGAAAGAAAAGGAGGAAAAACAAGAGTAAACAAGAAACATAAAAAATAAGAATAAGAGGAGAAACCCATGACCCCCACTTGCCCATCATTTCACATTCAAAGCCTCATCAAAGACATGCCCAGTTCCCTCAACTACCTCCTCTCAGCTCTTTAAGTATCATGTTTGTCTCCTTCATTTCCCTGTATATCTCATAAAACAAACCTCCCCCGCCGCATTTCCATCTGTCCCACCTGCCCCACTCTCCCTATTCCCACACATAAATTGGTCAACATCTTCTTATGCCTATAAACTCTTCCACCAGTCCTTCAAGTGACCTGGTATAGCTTGAGTGGAAAGAAACTGAGTGGCTATTCAACATCGCAGAACTAGCAAGCTCTCCCCTCTGCCTTTCCACACTAGTGAGTACTTCGTGGAGATGTTTTATCGGAATGAGACGAAGCATGAGCCACACCCCCTCACGCTGCCCGGCTGCACCCACAGCTGTCCTCTGGAGAAGTTCCATGAGCTGCTTGCCCCTGTGATACCCCAAGACTGGTCCACGGAGTGCATGACCACGAGCAACCATCAAGGTACTGAGGACATTATGGATTAGCATGCACATACACACCAAGCTGCACAGAAAGAGCAGAGCCCCCTTTCTCAAAAGAGATGCTGTTTAGAGAATGTACTTTGGCTCTCACCCTCAGTTTAGCAAGAAATGGGATCTGGGTGATAACTATGTACAGACACTCCCTCCAACCTCAAGCAACTTCTACCTCTCTACCCAGCCCTGCCCAGAATTTCTTTGTTTTGTTTGTTTGCTTGCTGTTAATACAAAAGAATCTAAGGGCTGGGGATTTAGCTCAGTGGTTCGATGGCCTGCCTTGCAAGTGCAAGGACCTGAGTTCAATCCCCGGTACCAAAAAAAAAAAAGAACCTCAAAGAAGATCAGATATAAAACTTAGGTCAAAATTCAAGGAGCTTCCATGATTGGTCGCATAGCACCTTTTATTGTTTAAGAGTTTCTGGTTTTTGTTTGAGGAGGATGTACTTGAAATGTCTCACGTGGAGTGGATTTCAATCTAGGGTTTCATCGTAGGCTAATGGGCAAGAGACCAATTTATCCATCAGTTCCAACCTCTCTCAAGAAAAGCAAAAGATTAAATTCAGTGGCTATAGCTGAAACGCTTTCTTCCCTGGGAATGTGATACTAATTGCTTCCATATTTACATTTAAATATACTAGATAGCAGAAGTGAAAAACAAGTGCTTATTTGTGTTCTCTGGCCCCAGAATGTTCATGTTCCATTTTAAGAAACCAAAATCAAGCTTTCTAGAAAGCTTTGATGTTTGTAATACATACAGAAGTTCTTGGAATATATGCATCATAGCAAATGAGTAAATGGATGAGAGCACAACATGCAGGCACAACACACCAGAGATATGGCACTACATGGCTTTCTCTCAAAGCTCTAATGCTTTAGATATTGAATCTAAAGTTGATTTAAGAGAAGATGTGCAATGATAGATACCAAACTGGAACAAAGCTAGAAATGTAAGAATATTCTAAGTGCCTCCAATTCAAAACTTACTGGAATGCTAAGTATGTGGTTATAAAATCTGCTCGGACAACAAAATATTCGGTTATCTTCAGAAAACCTAAACAAACTCATAGATCCAACTGAAACTGCTCATGGTGGCAGAAGAAATCACTTTCAAATGACACTCTTTAGAGCCCTGTAGATTTGCCATGTGGTAGACGCAACAGGTCTAGAGAACACCATGCTATGTTTCCATTATGAATTAAGATGAGATGGTTTCCAAAGATGCTTTCTACTGGATGCCAGAATCTATACCAAGAGCATTCTCTCTCCTGGTTGGTCATGAAATGACTGATACAAGACATCGATCGATGTGCTTCTCTGTGTTATTTTCCAAGGAAATATTTGCTGTTGGAGTGATCATCTGTCCTTGTAACTTTCTCCTAGCAGTAAGCTAAATGTAAAATAGTGAATAAAGGTATTATTAGAAAGTTTAAAATCATTACTTTCATAATGAACTTTGAAAGTTTGTGTGTCTATGTGTATTTAATTAGAATGCAATGCCTGCAGGAAGTTTTCAAGGGCTCGCTTTTGTTTGTAGGTTGTGTTTTAATGTAACAGAAAGCAGTGTATTAATATAAAGTAAAATGATTTGACTGGCTTAAATCAACATGTTGAAAATGTGCTTTGAACTTATTTCAAATAAGGACTAAGTTCTGAATGGTTCTGCCTCATCTGTTTAAATTGGAGCTTGCTCTGTAATACCAGAAGTCTAAGAGGCTGAAGCAGGAGGATCCCAAGTTCAAGTGCAGCCTGGACAACTTAGCAAGGCCTTGTCTCAAAATTTAAAAAAAAAAAATTTTTTTTAAGACAAAGTCTTGCTGTGCAGCTCAGGCTGGCTTTGAACTCACTCTCTAGCCCACACTGGCCTTGAACTTGGTGATCTTCCTACTTCAACCTCCCAAGTGCTGGGATTGCAGGGCTCCATGCCCAGCACCCCCCAAAAAGTATTTTTTTAATTTTTTAAGAGGATTTAAATTTTTTAACAGGTCAGTGCAAAGTTCAATCCTCAGTACCAAAAATAAAAAACAATAATGGAACTTGTTAAGAAAATGTCCTAGGAAAGTTTACAAGGTAGTAAGGAAGTAAAGAGATACATATTACACAGAATAACAAGGGTTATGTTCAATGACTACGTAAGTTGCAATGGGAACAAGAGTTACCCTGATCTGAAGAGAAAGTGAGTAAGGAAGATCAGAGAAGGCTTTTTGAGGCGCCAACAACTGCACTGTGTGAAATCAGGCTGGGCAGAGGTTTCTGATAATGTGCCACATGATACTAGAGAGGCATTTACAGAATATCCTATTGGCCTGAAGCTGGGAAGGGTAGGGGAAATATTCAGCAGAAGTTTCACACTCCAAAGAGATTCCTACATGGTGCATTCAAAGGGTAATTTCTCATAAGACAATATGTCAGTTCCTTACGTGAGGATTTTATTCCTTACATTCTCTGCTTTCTCTGCCCTTCATAGAAGTGCCTGTGCCGGGCATCAATTGGCACTCAGTAAATATATACTTGATTAATGTGTAATTCATTACCTTTCCTCCCTGGATCTACTCTTCTCTTGAAATATTTAGGAAGCTGGATTGTTATTCAGTTTTGGTAAATTCCTGAGCTGGAAGCAACCCTTGGGCTGGGTGACCTTGCCTTAGCATAAGATACAATAGAGCTCCCTTTAAGTGGAAGGCACTAGGGGTTGAATTATTTCTTAGTAGGGCCCCCAAATCTAGCAAATAAAAGTGTAGAAGTCCCAGATGCGTTTCAAAAAATAGCTGTAACTACTGAATTGTTGCAATTTATTGAAAAAAGTAAAATACAGGACACATAGTGTACTCTGAGAAAACTGATACAGGAAGCAAGACAAAAACATGTCCTGTGTATAAGGGCTAGCAGGCCAAATTATCCAGATCATATCAATTAAACTAACCACAGTCTTTGTCAAAAAATTCATACATGCTATCGTGTGTTACTTGAAAACAATATTCTGTTTTTCAACGGAAAAATTCTAGAATTTTACTAATACTGTCAGACTTTCTTCATTAGTGCTTTCCCTACCTCTGTATCCAGCTAAAATTATTTCCCAAGAGGAAAAAGCTTCAGGTTCCTCTAATTTTCTTTGGGAAGCTGAAAATCTACAGTTCATATCCACATACCCAGTATTCAACCCTGAGTTCTACATCTTTTCCCTCTTTGAATCTTCTTCTAGCAAAACCTGGTAACTTCTATCAGTATCTGCTGATAAAATATATGTTCACCTTTTCATACTTGACCTGACTTCATGGCTGGACCCCGGATGTCAAAAATCTGGAACTCAGTTGTTCAATAAATATAGGAGAGTATCTGTGAACAATGTTCAAAAGTGTCAGTTCTATAATAACTCAAATCCCTGGCTACAGGCACATAGGTATGTGCCAACCTGTCTATATGTTTAACATCTATTTTCAGCATAGTCATTTTGGCTTTGTCTTGTTCCTCTGTTACTGTAAAGAGCCCATGCTCAATAATATCCCTTCTGGGGCCAGGGATTTAGCTCAGAGGTTCCGCCGACTGCCTTGCAAGCGCAAGGTCTTTAGTTCGATCCCCGGTACCAAAATGAAACAAAATAAAAAAAAATAATAATAACATCCTTTCTGCCACCGCCATTTCTCTCTCAAAGATGAAGCCATCTGGTTAAAATAATATTTTTCACACTTACAACCACTATCTTCCCATTGCCATACCTCATTGTTCAAACATGAAGACACTGGCACTCGCTTTGGTATGCAATACATCAATTCACTCCCACTCCCACTCCTCCCCTCCACCAAGGAGATTGACAGTCACAGTAATGACCCGATCCACACCTCAACCACCATACCAACATTTAACCTCAGGTTAAATCAACCACATGATTTTCTTCATTCTGACCTGCCAAAGAGTGATGACGAAAACTGAAGTCCAGGCCAACCTGTTGTCACCATTTCAAACTATGAATGTTGAAATTTATATTCCAGCTTCAGCTGAGTGTTTCACCACTGCTGAATAAGTGTGCTCACCTTTATTGGACCTTTTTCCAACTTGCTGTGGGAAGGTCTTTTCATTTTCTCCAAATTTCATGTTCCATTTTGTCTTCTTTAATCTAGTAAGCAAGATAATCCATTGAAAACTATCAAATTCTCTTCTCAGTACCTCAAAATGTATTAGTACCTTTAACCTCCTCCTTCTACTGTTCCTCAGGAAAGCATGCTCCTCCTTGAGCAGACTGGCTGTTCTCACTGGCGCGTGGTTCATTCCTACAGTTTCTGCAGGACTTCAATGACTACCTTACATAGCTTCATGTCCTTCCTCTACTCTGACTGTGCAATGACCGAATGTCCTGTCTTTAAAAACACCATCGAGTGCTGGCACCACCTTATTCTCTTCAGTCCTCATTTTCTTTCTTAAAATTTTTGATTAATATGTATATGACTGTGACATATAGTAATTGCATTCATCTTGAGGGAATGGTACACGTGCATACTGCATCTTTACCTCGTGCCCTTTGCCCGTCTCTGTTCCTCCTTTCCCAAGACCCCTTTCCATCTCCACAGAACCCTAATTTTCTTAATTTTCTAGTTCTACTTCCACATTTCCTTCTTAGTTATTCTGAAAAATTATGTCTACTCTTATGTTTTTTAAACTTCTCTTTTGTCTAACACAGTAGTCTCTTCCTTTTCTGTGGAACAAGACTCAACTCAACATGCCCATTGTACAAAGAAAAATGAATCTCAGAATGTAATATGTCACAAATAGTAAGGCCAGGAATCAAACAGAACACTGTCCAACACCTTGCTTTTATTATATTTCTTTTCTACACTACACTGTCTTGTGCACTATTCCCTTGGGGAACATCCCAAACTAGGATTGGTGGGTCAAGGTATATGAATATCTAATAAGCAATTGAGCACCTAGGCATAGTCAACTTGTGCCTTTGTTCTAGGCATTGTTTGTGGGGGAAACTGCATCAGAGAAACAGATTGTCCCCAGGAGGCTTGTACACCTGAGGGGGCAAGGTAGGAGGACAAACAAGGAAGACAGGGGTTAAGAATTAAACAAGCCCCTACTGTAGAATAGGAGGTGAAGTATATATGAAGGCCATGGAGACAACAGTGAGAATAATCAGCCTAATTCTGAAGGCTTCTCCAATGGAGTGATGTTTGAATGGAAGTCTGATGGAGAAAGGGAACTAGCCAGGTGAATGAAGGTGAGGAGAAAGGAGAATGTGACAGACAAAAGGGAGAATGCATAGAAGTCATGAGGCTAAACACAACGGGGGTATTTTAAAGACTGGGAAAATTCTGGTGTGCACACAGGGCTGAGTCTAGAGAGGCAGGTGTTAGTGCTTCTTACCCAAGGTGAGTGGTTCTGGTTACTGAAAGGTTTTGAGCAAAGGTCTGATGCCATAACTGGCTTCTGGTTTTAGGGAGACTGACTTCACTGGGGAGAATGGATTAGAGAGGAGAGAACCTGAGGGCAGGGGGAGTAGTTCAAAGACTGCTGCGGTAAACCAAGGACTAAAGTAGAGAAAGAGAGGAGCACACTATTCACAGGAGGAAGAAATAGGGCAAACCTGAGTATTCATGCCAAAAGTGTTGCCCACATGGTTTTCAAAAATGACACTGCCTTCAGAGCAGTTTGTTCTCATGTAGTGGGATGTCTTTTCAATCATTCCGTGCGCTACACTTCTTTGCAGTAAGATACAACTGATCACACTCTTTTCTCATTTAGAACATTATTCTGCCAAGCTCCTAAAATATTTTACAGTACAAGAAAGAATATAATTTAAAAATAAATAAATAAAATCAGAGGGAGAGACAGAACTCCCCTGAATCTTTTCTTTGTTCTCTGTGGGTCCCTTGGATAAATGCCTTCCACCAATCCCCTAAATGACCATGTGCTGAAATCCTGTACTTTATTTCCTCATTCCACATTCACTATAAGACCTCTATTTTCTACATCTGCAGTTCTCATTTCCACATCTAAGTGTAGAATTCTAGACCTGGTATGTTCCAGCTATCTACTGGTCATCTCTGTCAGGACAATAACTCATCTCGATACTACTTGAAAATGAAATTCATTATCTCCACTATGCCAATCCAATCCAGTCCTGTTAGAGTCCCTCATCTGTGCTTCCATTTCCACAACTCCAGTTCTGTGCCTTCGAATTATCAAAGATGATTCAATAGCTTCTTGCTAACCCTAGCATATTCCCACCATTCTATCCTTTCAACAGTTATTTTTTTAAACACAAAATAGGCCGTGTCACTTCTGTGCATAATTGCTGATCACATTCATTTGCCCCATGAAAACCTGAAGCCTAAAATTTATATATATATATATATATATATATGATATGTTATATTATGTTATCTTATATATATTATACTATATATATGATACATAATATCAAATATATCTTCCCTAAAGCCTATATTCTTGCTATGTGTGTAAGTGCCCATTATTTGCCAAATCTACCCTTGTGCAATTCCTTCTGCCAAATGGAAAAATCCTACTAATTTCATGGGCCAGCTCAAACCTAGAAGACTTTCCAAACTCTATTCCAAATAGAATATACTCTGTTGATTGCAACTTTCTCTCTGTCCAGTAGCATATTTTTTACACTTCAATTTCAGTGTTTGTCACACTGTGTCATAATTGCCTGTCTGGTTCTCCCAGTACTTAGTGAGCTTCTCAAGAGCAGAGATAATAGAAGCATCTGATACAGCTTGCCAGGCATATGATGCATGTTTATTACATGCATAGGAAAGGAAGAAGGGATGATACAGGGTAGGAAGGCATAATAAATGGTACTGCTATGACAACATAGTCAATAAAAACTGCAAACAAATTTATAAATACATAAAATCAGCCATGAAAAGCAATTTTTAAGATAATTAGTACTTTTTTCATCTCTCATTTCTATTTCAGTCCCTTCTTCAGTTCTATTCAGTTCTCTCCAACTTTGTGTTAACCCCATCTGCAGTCCCAGTGACACAGTCCCCAGGGATATTCACCTTCTAATAGTAATTAAAAAATATCCTGGCATTGTGAACAAAACACTAGACTGAAAGTTAGCAATCTCTGAGTTCTACGTCATTTATTTTTCTACAAATATTTATTAGCATCTACTATGTGCCAGGTTCTGTTCTAAGTGGGTGGATACACCTATAAACAAAAAAATGCAAAGGTTCCTATCTCCTTGAAGCTTATAGTCAATTAGAAAAAGAGAAGAGAACATTCTAAAACATAATAAATTAGCATATAAATAAGTGTTTTGGAAGATGAGGATAACAAGTGCCAGGCTAGAGGCTGATGAGAATTGCACTTTTAAATGTCAAAGTCTCATTGAACAAATGAGATTTAAGCAAAGAAAGTAAGGGAGTGGCCTAATGTAAGGATCTGTGGGAAGAGCGTCAAGGACGAGAGTACATGTCATATTTGAAGAACAATTGGAAGGATCACATGGTCAGGGAAGAAGGAGTGAGGGGAAGTGGGAGGACAGGAAATCTTAAGGGTTATTAGGGACCAGGTGATGCAGAGCCCATAAGATGTCACCATTAGGACTTTGGCTTTTATTTTGCTTAAGATGAGCATTCATTATAGAATTCATTTTAAACAGAGGAGTGGCATGATTTGGCTTTAAGTCATTTAAATTCTGTGTTTAAAAATTGGTGTTTAGACTGCAATAAGGAAAAATTTTTTTAAATAAAATAATTTTTTAATTGTGAAAAAAAGGATAGAAGCTGGGTAACACGTCAGGAGGCCATTGAAATGATCCTGGAAAATCTTAGTTCAAAATAGAATGAGAGCAGAAAAGAGAAGTCATTTGTTGATAGACATATTTTTTGGTAGAACAGGATTTCATGACAGATCAAGTGTAGGATATGAGAGAAATAAAGGAGTCAGGGACACAGTGAAAGATTTTGTCCTGAACCAACACAAGTTGGGAGTTTTCCTCAAATGAAATGAGGAAGGCTGTGGAAGTACAGATCTAGGACTCATGGAGATTGAAATGTCTATTAGGTGTGCAAGAAAATACAGTAATCCCTTTTATCCACAGTGGATACTTTCCAAGCTCCTAGTGGATGTGTGAAGACACAGACAGTACAGAATTCTATATAAACAACCTTTCTACTGTCCTCACATACATACATCTGATGAATTTTATCTTGTAAATCAGGCAGAGTCACATATTAAGAACAATAACTAATAATAAAATAGAACCTTTACAGCAATCTACTGTAATAAAAGTGATGTGTTGAATATTTTGTCCCAGCAATGAAAAAATAACTAAGACAGAGAGAAACACAGAAGAAAGATATGCACTTTCAGGTCACACTCCCAGCAATGCCTTTTCAGACCAGATCCTGCCTCCTAACAGCATCAGCTGTAGCATCTGCATTGTCCAATTCTCTTCCAAAAACCCCATCTATGAGCACGTAAGGCTCTTGGGGGACATCTAGATATAAACCATACATGATATAAAATAAAGGTTATTTGAAAACAAGCACTGCTATGCTACTGCTATGCTGTTGGTCTGATAACCCAAGATGGCTCCCAAGTGATCAATGGGCAAGTGACACGGGCAGTGGGGATACAATAGACCAAGGGATGAGTCAACTTCTGAGTAGATGGCGTGGTATGGCATGAGATTTTATCATACTGCTCAAAACAGTGCATTATTTAAAACTGAAGAGTTGTTTGTTTCTGGAGTTTTTCCATTTAATATTTTAAGACAATGATTGATCAGCACAGGTAACTAAAACCACAGAAAGTGAAACTGTGGATAAGGGGAGGACTACGATTTGCTAAGTGAAAGTTAGATATTATAAGAGTCTTGAGCTTGACAGAGTGGTCAGAACTGGAATTTGATTTTAGGAGGTTGTTAGTAAGTAGATGCTTTTTAAAATCATGAGACTGATAATTTCCCATATTTTCAAATCCAATAAAATTATCTTAACCTCATTATGCTTAGCCTCAACGAATTTATCTAGTCTCTCTGCTTCTCATTTCCTTCCTCTCTACAATCAATGATTTTCATCTGTGTTCCATGGAGTAGTAGGGTTTGCACAGAGATGTTTGTTCCACCATTGCCCAAGCCAACTAGTAACCCTATCATTTTACAATGAGAAATTATACATTACATTTGGATATGAGACACACCGGTAATTAGGATGCATATATTGTAGTGGACAAGGATATGTGCAGAAAGAGTAGCTTTCTGAATGAAATAATGAATTAGTTTCTCATTTTTAAGAATGAACCCCATTTATCTTCTTGTGACTGATTATCAAAAAACAGAGAGGTACAAATCAACAGTAGGGCACAATTATGCTAAAAATGGTTCCCATAGTCAACATACGCTTAAGGTTTCTTCTGTAAAATATATTGGCTTGAAAATCAAATTTAAAAATGGAAAGATTCTGTTTTTTAGCTTCAATTGATGGCAGTTGAGTATTCAAATTTTTGTTTGACCTTGTGACCAGGAACAGTTAGTAATGTAGCTATAGAAAAATCCATAACATTAACAGTACAAGAGAAATTTGGAAATACTTGTCAACTACCTTCCCTATACAGAGGGGAACTGAGGCCCAAGAGTCAAACTTCATGCTGAACTGGAACCTAAGTCATCTCCTGACTCCTGGTCCTGTGCTCTTTGCACCACACTGAGTTCAAGGCTGCTTCAGAAATTCCTCTGAAATGCATAATTAAGGCAGAAATCAGCACTGACATATAATCTTCATGTTTTCTTAATGTACTAAACTTGCATTAATGTTTTTTCTATCTCCCCCACAGTTTTAAGGGTCATCCTCACCATTGCCTTTTGTCTGGTGTCTGGAGTCCTGATGGTGCTGCTATTTGTCCTCATCCGCCATGGGCCCTGCTGGCAGAGAGAGTCCTACAGGAACATTTGAACTAATGGCTGTACAACAGTGGACAACAAGACAACCTCCAGTGATACAGCACCTCCCAAGGATGAAGCATTCAAAGGATTCAAAGCACAGGCTTTTGCCACTGGAAATTGCTCTGCCCACACTTCCTTTTTGGACCTACTTAGAGCATAGTCCGAACCCACAGCCACCCAGGGACAGCTGCTTGACCGACAGGTTATTTAGGTCTTCTCAACACTGAGCAAGGGTATAGGCTACTCCAGTGGCCAGAAAGAAGCTCTTCTGTAGAGAACAGTTGTGTTCCCTGACAGAGATGTCCAGAGAGAACTAAGAAGCTCATTGTTTGCAAAGAGCAAAGGATGAGAAAGTGGGACAAAGACATAGAGCAGACAAGACTAGATACCGGAAAATGTTAAGAGTAGAAGTGGTATTAGATAAGATGATCCTTAAAAAAAGACACAATGGGAAATCATAAACAAACTTATTTAGCTTTTAAGTAGTTTTAACATGTATACATGCAAATTCATGCATAGCCCACCCAGTGCTTGATGTCAACCGGCTTCTGTATGTGTACGTAACACACACATATGTATATTTATGTGTCAAATGCCTTTGAAGGGGCATTTTATTCTCAGAAACTAATATGAACTTTTCAGGTTATTTCCCACAATTTCCATGTGGGAAAGTAACTGGAAAATTCATGGTTCTTTTACTTCCATCATCAAAGTTATATTTTTATACAGTTTAATTTCTTTATTTCATTTTAAAATTGTGAGTTCTTAAATTGATAAGGGTCATTTATCGCCATGATAAAATGTTTTTTTAATTGCCACAGATATATCTAGTATTTTGGTACTGGTGATTAAACCCAAGGCCTCAAACATGTTAAGTGAGTGCTCTACCTCTGAGCTATAACCCCAATCTTAATCTGAGTTTTCTAAACGGTGAAGTAGAAAAAAAAGTGGACTGAGAGTCAACCCTTTGCAACAGTGCCTCACTGGCTTTGGGCCAAGTTGGAACAAATTTTTTTATACCTTCAAGCTTGGCTTCTTAATCTAACAAGGAAGAATAAGGACTGCATGGGCATAAAATTTGCATCTGGTTCTCATGCTCTGTGAGCAATTTTTTTTTCCTCATTTTATGCTATGGATGGGTATTGCCCAAGCAGGCATTTTCACAGATGGTACCATTGCAGATTAAGACAATGACACTAAAATTTACTCTAAATAGCTTTATCTTTGAACATCCAACCTTTCAACTGGTGAGAAATTCAATCTCATATTTTATTTCTCTATTATTTACATTTGACTAAGATCCTAGAGTGTACCTAGTAGGAGAAGTCAGAGAAAGGTCCTCTATGCCTCTGCCCACACTGGTCTCCAATAAGTTCACTGTCTGTGCCTATGCGGTCTTCTGAGGACAAGCAGAGGATATTTGTGCTATAGCTTCCAAGACCACACTCTTGGGGTTCACCATCTGGAGACTGCCTAATCCAGTTGCCATGATTTTTGTCTAGCACAGAAGTCCACCTCCCCAACCCCTCCACCCTCACTCTATCTTTTGGTCTCAGGATCTTCCGCTCCTCTTGAATCCCATAGTGTCTGCCTGTTAAATGCCAAGAACCTCCCTGTATAAACCTCATTTTGCACATAATTCTCATTGAGCCAAAGCTATTGCAAACAAAAACCTAAAATGGACCTTCCTTGCTTGCTTTTTTGTTTGCTTCCTTCCTTCCTGTGTTGAGGATTACACCCAGGACCTCACACACTCCCTGACCAGATGTTCTACCACTGAACCACATCCCCAGGCCCAGAAGTTGTTTTCTTTTGCCTGACAACTTCTGATTCCTGCTGCAACACAAAAGCCAAGTAAGGGTGGGGGCAGAGGGGTGGATGATTGCATTCTTAACTTGGGAAAGGGAAAAACTTGCACATCAGCAAGGACAAAGGACAAATTGCTATCTTGATAAAATAGCCAGCCACATTGGTAATTAAGCCATAATATTTTATGTTAATAAGTGATAAGACTTAAAAATTGAAACAGAAACGACAAGGAATGAATTTTCTCACTCATTCAACAAACCTTGATAGAGGACTTGCTATTTGCTAGTTACTAACCAAAATGCTAAATTGTCCATCTCTATTGGATTATGAAGGTGTTGACTCCAATAAAGATCTCATATGGGGTTTGTAGAATGTAAAAGTAAAATATTTCACAACTTTTTCTCCATATCATCTTTTAATATTCTCAGTGCCTTAAAGGACCTCTACTTTCTATTGGTTCTGAGAGATTTTTTTCATATCCTCCCCATTTTTCTTCCTTCTACCATCTCTTCTAATTCTTATAAAGAAAGCTCTCAGGCTCATTTTAGCTGTTTATGATCTCCAGAGCAATTCTGTTGATAAATACAGGAGTTGTTTTTTTCATATTTCATGGAAAAAAGAAAAACTACAAGTGATAAATGACCTAAAAGGTAAAGCAAAAAGCACAAATGTGCTGTAAAGTTTCTCAGAAAATATGCTAATTATCCAACTGCAACAAGAGAAGAAGGTAAACTCTCTCTACTGATAAGATTTGCTTTTCTAGATGGAACAGATGGAGTAAGTCCAGTTGCCATTATGATAAACAATGTTTGAAAGGTGGTGGCTAGTGCTGATATGTCTCTGCTCTGAAATGTATTCCTTGCCTTTTAAACCACTACAGAAGTCTTTGAATAGCATCCAAATGAGGCATTAGTCATTATGTCGATGATAATGACATAGCATGAAGAAAGTATTAAGAGAATATCATTATAAAAAGGACAAATAAAAGAATGCAAGTATTAGAGTGAAACATTTTACTGGAAGTCATTCAATCAACAGCTTTTATATTGATTGACATTTCTTCTCCTTGAATTCAATCTTGTCTCTTATCCTCCCAACTTCCTGTTCTTTTTCTGTCTTGTTCTAATATTGTTAACAATGATTCTTTCTTCATAGACAGGGAAATTGTTTGGTAAATGAAAACTAAAGTATTAACTGTTTTCTTTTAAAAACTCTTACCAGAAGCCAGGCATGGTGGCACACATCTGTAATCCCAGCACTCTGGAAACCAATACACAGGGATTGCCACGAGTTTGAGGCCAGCCTCAGCTACATAGTGAGTTCAAGACCTGCCTGAACTATATCACCAGAACTGTTTCAGGAAACAAAACCAAATCTCTTATCAGAAACCCATTGGTGCAATCTGTTTGTGCAATACATCCAAAATACATACTTTAGATCAGGGCTATCTAATAGAAATGGAATGTAGGCTGCAAATAAAAGCCATGTATATGACTTTCAATGTTCTAATGGCCATGTTTTTAAAAGATAAAAAGATGAAATTTAACAATGAAATTGTTATATAAAATATAACAAAATTTATATAAATTTAAAATATTATTTCACTGTGTAATTAATATTTTTAAAATGTTAATGAAATGTTTTATGGGTTTCTTCATACTATTTAAAACCTGAAGTGTCTTTTGCCCTTGCAGCACACCTTCATGGGCACTAGCCACATTTCAAGTCTCAATACCATGCCCTGGTGACTAGCGTATCACATGACATACTGTCAAAGATAACAAATGTTTTTTTTAAGCAGAAGAATGTATTCTTTGTTATTTATAGAATCCATTTTCATTTACTGTGAAGAAATAAAAATCTTCTTTATAACATATCCTTGTTATTTTTTGTGTGTGACTAAACTGGTGAAAGGTTTTTCTGCAATGTTTTATTTCAAACTTGTCTTAGCAGCCTGAGTCTTTTTTATAACTATCCTAAACTAAATGGACTAATTCGTGTTCTTATTAAATGTCTTAAGAAGGAATTTGATAAGAGACTTAGAAAATAAATGCTGCCAGGTTATGAGAGTATGGCTTTTAAAAGTTCAAATTTTAGATTTCAAGTAACTTGTCATCAAAACAAAAATCGGGCCGGTGATTTAGTTTGGTGGTTGCGCCACCTGCCTCGCAACCGCAAGGTCCCAAGTTTGATCCCCGCTACTAAAAAAAAGATGTGCAGATACTTCGGAAAAAGTACAGTATAAGATACAGAGTAAAAATCCTTCCCACCACACTCAATCACAGAGACGATCTTGTCGACAACGTTCGCTTTTAGCTCTTCTATTGAAAAGCCTTTTTTCCTGAATTTTTTTACATCATTCCCCGCTTTTATAACTCATTGCGTCCTCTTATTTGCACTCTCATTTTCTTGAAGGAATTCTATAAAGATGTGTGAACGATAAGCTCTCTGATTCTATAAATATGCCTACATTTTCCCTCTCATTTACCAGTCAGTAGTCTGAGTAAATTCAGCTTGAAAATCATTTTCCCTCAAAACTTTAAAATAGTATTCTATTGTCTGCTAGCACAGAAATTGCTGATGAGAAGTGTGCTATCAATCTGATTCTCATTTCAATGTATGCAATGTTTTATTTTGTTCTTCCTGAATCATTTAAGATATTCTCTTTATCGCTGGAGTTCTGAAATCGCACCAGCATATATTTAGGCAAGAATACTTGGTTTTTTACTTGCTTTCTAATTTTGTATAGCTTACCTAAGTCTTTTTCAACCTAAAGACAATTGTCTTTCTTTCACTCAGGGAAATCATGACTTGGAACTTGAATTTCACGGATCTATCCTCCATGCGTCAAACTTTTCTTTTTTTTTTCAGCTTTAATTGAGTTTCTTGGTACATTTTTAGGGATACAGTACAGTTACATTCATCACTGGGATCTTGTACCTCTACATGACAAGTCTTGGTTCTCATTTTTTCCCCTTGTCCCTGCCCTTCCTGCACCCCCCCTTCCTCCCCATCTACAAACACTTTATTTCCATCTTTTCATTATCTCACATTTTTTTCTTTTCCCTTATTACCCTTCCCCTACCCATCCCACCTTCCCTACACCTTTAGCTCCTTTCTTCCCATTTCTAAATGTCAGTAATCTTATTAGGATCTTATGTGTTATTGCAGATTATTCACACCAGAGAAACTATTTGGTATTTACACATGTGTACCTTATTTATTTCATTTAGGAGTATATCTTCAATATGTATCCATCAAACTTTTCATATATTTTCTACCTTTTTTATCTTATTTCTCTACATCCTGGGATTTTATTTTCAAGAACATCAAGTTAGCTTTCAGCAAATCCATTATTCTTTTTCTTTTTTTATTTCTAAGAATTCTTTTTTTCCCCAGACAGAATCTCATTATGTAGTTCAGGCTGGCCTTGAACTCATTATGTAGTCCAAGGTGGCCTCAGACTCTCAGCAATCCTCCTGCCTCAGCCTCCCAAGTGTGGGAATTACAGACGTGTGCCACTATGCCTGACTTGGATTATTTCCTTTTCATAGTGCCATCTTATTTTATTAATGCAACCTCCTCTTGAATATCTCTAAGTGTTATCTTCTCAGGTTTCCTGCTACTTTTTATATAGAGTGATTTTTGTATTATGTTTTAGACATTGGGAATGATGTTATGGAGATTCTGGATTACAGAATATTCCTCTAGAAAGTTTTTCTTTTTTAAAACAGTTGGTTAAATCTTCTGAAAAACTAAAAACTATCTCTTCGAAATAGGCAGCAGCTCAACTATTGGTTCAAGTCTTTAAGATTTTATGAGGCTACTTGGAGTTTTCTCTGCGTATGGTTAGTCTAAGATATGGGGGTCAGCCATAGAGTAGGGACTGTTTATATGCAGTGTTTGAGATTTTTTTCACTGGCTATCAATTTTGTGGGATTTTCTTCTCACTTGTCAGAGGCTATGAATATCTTAAACTGTTGCCTGGTGCTTCAAGTCAGCAAGACTTTGTATTTGTTTTTTAATCTGGATTTTAGCCATCCACACATCTGCCCCTGCATGGCAACTACATGAACTGGCCCTCAAGCCAAAAGCTATAAAAAATAAAATTCAGTGTTCTTTTCCCATGTTAACTCCCTCCAGCATCTGTTCTCCATTGTTCCCAAGTGTCATCCACTACTTGTGTTTTGTTTTGACCGACCTGAGAGATTTTATCTGTAGAAGGGTTCATCTGAGGGAATACAAAGCCATAGTCAGAAGTGCGTGCTCTGTGCACCTGGGAAGAGCTGCTTTGCTGTTCTGTGTGAAGGAGAAAATCACAGCCGTAGAGGCCCAGGAATGTGAAAGAAGGAAATTTGTGTCATCTGGGACACACTGAAAGATAAAAGGAATTTACTCTTCTCTGTTGAGAGTACTTTTATGTAGTAACTCCTAGGTGGAATCATCTTAGGCTTTAAAATTTTCCCCTCCATGTCTGTGATGTTGGTCCCTCAGGGCCTGCGCTGCTTCTCCCTTGGGGTGCAGGAGCCACCCTAGGAGTCCTCCACAAGTAGCATCCCTTTCTACAGAAAACGCTAGTCCAGATTTTTCTAGGTGACAGCCACTTTGTGAATATGCAGCTATCAGGGGTCTGACTGGCTGGTACAGAATGTGTCCTTTAGTTAGTCACCTTGATGGATAGTCCGCAGCTCCCCTGTGCTGTGAGGGACAGGTGGAGCTCCAAGTTTCTCTGAATTCCTAGAAAGAACCAGTCATCTCTGTAGTTCCCCTATTTTGCCTTCTTTGTGAGTTCAGTCTTATCTGCCTATACTTTGAATAATTTCTCAAAATATCTGACATGCTGATATTCCTCTTTCCGGTGCTATTATGATTTCATTCTTCTTCTTCTTTTTTTTT